GCTTGATTGAGATCATGATGAAATACTTTCATTGATGGAAAATCAAACAAAGCGTGATGGAAATTGAAGATCAGTATATCTTTATCAGAAAGAAGATGATTTGAAGAGATTTGTTTGTAATAAACAAAATGACATCGAAACACAAGACCTTGAGCAAGATCAAAAAGATGAGGATTACGTTTCTCATTATGTAAAATCTCATTAAGTTGTTCATCTGTCTCATAAGTAGTTTCGATGATTGAAAACAAACTATCATTATTATTTTTATCTTCATGAGTAATAACTCGTTGCATAAGTAGATTCTTTTCGATATCAAAATGAAGTGATGTATGAAGCGAGGGATGTTTGTTAACAGTGAGATGAAGTGCATGATGAAGTTGTTTAATCGAGAAAGTATGATCTGGTTGAAGACGGTAAACAAAAGGCATATTATAAATTGCTACTTGTGGCTTGTCTGGATCGAATCGAATTCTTTCATCAAGCCATATACGAGCTTGTGCAAATGATGCTGGTGCTAGAATAATGAGAGCTTTGTGAATTCTAATGCAAAAGCTGGAAGGCCAAATGATGTTTGATAACAATATTGTATTCACTTTCCATCTAATCGCCTCCCTAGCTGAACAGAATCCGTATTAAGAGTTTTGGCTCTCTATTTTCTGTTAGCAGTAATAAAAACTATTCTAATACCCCAGAATGAAAAGCCGAACATCGTACGATAGCAGATTCTACTTAAAAAATCGGGCAATATTATTAAGCTTCATAGAATCTGATAGATGGATTTTGATCTGGGACTTTTTATGCGGATTAAGAGTACTATGTAATAATTTTATGTTAGTGTTTTATATAAAAAACACAATTGTTTGGCACCCTTATAAAACTGGCCTTAATATAATGCAAGTATTGACACCTCTCTCAGAAAGAAGTAAAATTGTTCACTTTTAGAAATTCATCTTTTAGAAATAAAACAATATTGTTTTTTATGAAAGTCGTCAGTATTTTCATTATCCTAACACACATTCATTGTGAATGCCGAACTATTGATTTTTTTCTACTATATACATAAAAGAACCATATAATTTTGTAAAATTCTGACAGATATTATTAGTATTCTCCTAGTACGAATATTTAGCTGATAGCCTCAGTTAATATTATTATTAGTGCCATATAAATCTTTCTACTTCATTGGGTAGTAGATCAAACTGATTTCTCTAGATCATTCAAATGCACTCAAATATTTGATAAATTTATCTATAATGATATGGCATCTTTATCTGTCTATTGGTTTTGTCTTCTCTTGTTCTTCCTTGTATACTTCTTTTCATCATATATATTCTCCAAATCATCAAACAGTATTACAATACACTTGAAATAAATATATATGGTTACGTGATGCAATCGCTGTAGTTACTATAGAAAAATTTATTTTCAAATAAGTTTATGCCATTCTATTCTTTCGACATACACTACTAGATCACTAAAATCTGTGCAGTTGTATAAGAGAATAATCTGAATAGAATATTCGTATGAAATAAAGTGTATAATCAATAGGAATATGCATAATAAAAACTAGAGCTATAATATGTAGATGTGGCATTCTTTATAAGATCATACGATGATTTGATAGATATCTAAATAATTTTTAAGAATCATGTACTACCAATGTTTGATAATTTTTACAATCTATACACATACATCTAATCAGTGAAAACAACAGAAATATATTTGTACTAGCGTTATGTAACGACGGAAGAAAACAAAAACAAACAGAAATATTTGACCATAGAGAACTACGTGGTGTAGGTGTTTTACGATTATACAACCCGACTATAACTACGAAAAGCCTCTTCCCTGTGATTCCATACCCAATTGCATGATTTTTTATTTTGTAACTTCGATTTCAGTTTCGACATCCAGAAACTTCGACAATTTATTACTAATAACTAGTGATCTATCACGTGCTTAGTTATTAGTTTACTTAGAAGTCAATGAGAACTAGACTCACCTTTTGATGAACAATCCGAGCAATTTAAGTATAATTTGTTTTCTGGAGTAGAACCTATCAGTATATCTTAGTTTTGAGAAAGTGCCAATTTATACATAAACAGGCTTATGAAAGATTCTACTATCATAGTTGTTCTATTCCTTAAAACGAAATATACAACTTTCGAACAATGGCACGTGTTAGTTTTTTATTAATTGATATAAAAATACAAGAGTATTCACATATTCAAAGCAGATATTCATCAGAGATCGTTACAGTTTAACTTCGATTTCTCTCATGAAAAATTTCTCGATAAATCCCACTTCAGCTCACTTTCAGCATCTTCCGCGGTCTCTTCTTAAAAGTAACAAAACTAGAACACCTGAAAAAGACAACCTGGGTCATTGACGATCACAATTCATCTGAATCCCTATTTTCTCATTATTTATACCGTTAGGACTTATTTTAAAATTGAAAATACTATGTCTGTACATTGCAATGTACTTTAATGCATATTTCTCATTACTGATTTAACTGACTGCTACATTTATAAAACAATAAAACAAGCTGTATACAATCATACCTTCATTCACAATATCCTTCAATCGATGAAACATGACTAACTTTATTTCTTCAGCTTCCTCAGGAAGAATAAGACATACTTTGTTAATCGATGAACTCATATTCATCGCAGGAACGTTGCTTGATTGTGTATGGCACAGTTGGTCAAACATATAGTGAAATCTTTCAGCTATTTGTGAAATAGTTGATTTTTCAAATAAATCATGTGAACAAACAAAAATACATGATAATCTTTTGTTATCTGGTAATGGATTGTATACAAATGTTAATGAGAAGTCAAATTTAGATAATCCAGCAGATTGTTTGAATGATACTTCTTCTAAATTTGCATCATTCAAACATAAGTGTCCCATATCTTTTGAAAGAGTAATAAAATCAAACACTGTTTCAAGAAATGATACATTTGATTGGTTTAATCGATTATCACCAAGAATATGTTGTAATGGATAATGAGAATGTTCAAGAATTGATAAACATTTTTCTCGTACATGTTCAACCACTTCATCAAATGACCAATCAGAGTCAATTTCTAAACGATATGGTAATGTCGACACAAACATTCCTATCATATTCACTAATTCACTTCGATATCGATTAGCATTGATAGAAGATATACATAAGTCAGTTTGACCATGAGTTAGTTTGAATATGAAAACATAAAATATGGATAATCCAAGTTGAAAAAGTGTGAGATGATGTGATGATGCATAGTTTAGAAATGATGTGCATAATTCATTATCAAACGTAATTTCAGCTGTGGATGCTAAGCCTGATCGTTGTTGATTAATGGATGAACGTTGTCGGTCTACAGGCAATGACAACTGGTGCGTCAGATTATATCCTTTGAGTTCTAATCGCCAAAATTCTTGAGATGATGACATATCCATGATATGTTCATAAACAGAATAATCTATATAATTCAATGAGTTATCATCCATAGATAATGAGCCATCAGACTGATAAGCAAGAGAAAGATCACGAAGAAAGATTGATGTTGATGCTCCATCAAACATTGCATGATGAATACTAATCAATATATGATCATTTTCAGTCAACAGGTTCTCATTATCATATAAGATACTGTCTTCGGATTGATGATAATGACGAAGAATATGACAACGAATAACACGTCCTTTTGATAAATCAAATAAATCAGCTTGCTTTAATATTTTTTCAATAGTTTCATTCATATAACGACGATCATTATTATGGAGATTAACGATTGTTAATCCATATGATTTCATATCATTGTTGAGTATGATATCTGTATGTAAACAGTATTGTACAATATTGCTATTTGTATCAAGATAAAGTGCTGTTCGAAGAATATTATGTTTTCTAATAATACTTTGAAATGCATGATGTAATCGAGTGATTGATATATGATCATTCATAGATGATATACGATAAAGTAATGGAATAGCATACATATTATTCATCGTTTTCTTAGATGAAAAACGAATTTGTTCATCTAAGAAAATACGTTCTTGTGCAAATGATGCTGGAGCTAGAATGAGAAGGAAAGAGATGTATATGTAGCTGATGATAATATCTAGTACGAATTGTTTTGTTTACTACCTTGAGTGAGATGTAATGAGGACCAAGGATAATCATGCAGAGTGTGGATGGTATTGATAGATTGTTGAATGAGTTGAGCATGATCGATAATTGTTGGATGTTGAAATAGAGTAGATATTAAGAAGCTACTTTGCTTTTGTTCTAATTGAAATTCGATTTTATATCGATGAAAAAGTTGCATCATAAGTAATGAATGACCACCAATAATAAATATATTTGTATCAATTGAGATTTGATTCTGATTGAATATCTCACACCAAATATGATGAATACTAACTTCAGTATCATTTGTAGGTAGTAATAGTCCTTCACTGTTTATGAGATGTATTGATGAGAACTGAGGTGGCGGAAGAAGTTTTCGATCTATTTTTCCATTTTGATTCAACGGAAATTGTTCGAGTAAAATGAATATTGATGGTACCATGTATGACGGAAGATGAGATCGACACTGATGAAGTAATAATTCTTCATTAACATCAATACATTGTACATAAGCAACTAAATGTTGTTCATTCCATTTAATAACAGTACAAGCAGATACAAGTGAAGATGTATTCATAAGACATTTCTCAATTTCAGCCAATTCAATACGTTGTCCTCGTAGTTTTATTTGATGATCTTTTCTACCTTTGAAATAAAAAAAGCCCTGATGATCATATCGAACAAGATCACCACTTCGATAGAATATTTCGTTATTAATCTCCACCAATATTTTTGCTGTCAAATCATCACGACCAAAATATCCAGCAAATACACATGCACCACCAACAAACAGTTCACCTTCTTGATTAACAGCAACAAACTGAAAATATTCATTCATAACTACACATTGATAATTAGGAAGCGGTTTTCCAATTGACATCACTTGTTTATCACAATCAAAATCGAATCCTACTTGAAAATATGTTGTAGTAATTGTTACTTCGGCTTGTCCATACGTATTCCATAGTCGACAGCCATCAAGCGACGACGATGATGATGGTGCAGATGCATATTTTTTCAAACGCGACATTATTTGATTTGTTAAAACATCACCTAGAAATGAGATAATCCTTTTTTGCTTATCAATCAAAATATTCGATTCGAATAGACTTACCTCCACTACTCAATGTTCGCAATTTCTTTAAACATTCATTTTCATTTTGTATTTCGAGATGTTGACATATTGTATCAAGATAACTTGGTACAGCTTCCAAAACAGTTACATCTTTGTCCATTAATTGATGAATAAAATAAGTTAAATCTTTATTACCATGAGGATGTAACATAACTAAACCAGCACCAATCATTAACGTTACAAAAATATCTTGAAAATGATTATCAAAAGAGCAACTTGCAATTTGTACTACATTGTCACTTTTTTTAAATGCTGTCATTTTGACAAGACTTTGCATATAAGCAGTTAAGTTACGATGTCGTATTTGGACCTAAATATACAGATATACAAATGAAGAATTCAAAGAATTATATTGGACAAACCGCTTTTGGTATTCCTGTCGAGCCACTTGTAAAAACAATATATGATATATTATCTGGAGTTATTGAAATATTTGATAATTGATAAAGATCATCATTTGTAATTTTATCATTAATGTTTATAGCTGTATCAATATCATATGTAATAAAATTATTTTTAAGTATCTGATTTGTTAATGAATGAACAAGTATAAGACGAGCTTGTGTTTGCTCTGCAAGATTTTGGAGACGTTGTTTGGGATTTTCTGGTGATAATGGACAATAAACACCACCAATTATTTCAATTGATAATAAACCAATAATCTACAGTTAGAGATTACAGCTAAATAATAACAGATTATTTCTTTCCAAACTTACCATTGATAAACTTCGCTCAACACATTGACACACAACCTCACCTGGAAACACATGATATTCATTAAGAAGAGTTAAAGATAAGACTTGAACATAATACAAGAGTTCACAATATGTCAAAGATTGTTCATCCAATTCAACAGCTAGTTTTTGTGGGTGTTTCCTTACTTGATAAGTAAATCCGTAATGAATACAAGTGACAGGAGATGAAAATGATACTTGTGTATTGTTCATTGATTGCATTACATATCGTTCATTTGACAATATTAATGATAATTCATAGGTAGGTTTGTTTATTTGACTGTCGATCATAGATGCAGATAATTGATTTATGATGAAATGAAATCGTTGTGAACTCTTCTCTACTGTCACTCGAGTGAACAAATCAAGTGATGCATTGATTGTGCATGACAGTTGATTCATGTTCATATCATGATGAAATGAAAGAGAGAAGTCGGATATACTTAACATCTTCTCTTCATTGTCGTTAAATGAGCACGATCCTGAGAGAAGGTGAGAACCACCAATCATCACCGTATTATTATGCTTGGATGATATAAATTCCAGAGATGTATCCAAAAATGCATGTTTTGCAATGTGTGGATGTTGATTGAGAATACGTTGAAGAGGAAAATATGAATATTTCATACTATTTGTTGTTATCTCTCGAACATGCTCGAGTAGTTGATGAAAACACCAGTGAGGATCTAATTGACATCGTAATGGAATGACATTCTCAAACAATCCAATGATTGATTTCAATTCATCACTATATCTATTGTTGACAGTCATTCCAATACATAGATCTGTTTGTCCATTAGTTAGTTTAAATAGAAACACATAATAAGTAGCGAGTGCAAGATGCTCAAGTGATATATTATTTGATGATGCACGGGTAAGAAAGTCATGTGAAAGATCTTGACCAAAATCAAATGAAATAGTTGTTCCACGACCACTTCGATGTTCATTTGAGAGACGGTGTCGATCATATGGTAGTGACAAAGGTTGATCAAGTTTACAATCATGAAGAGCATCAAGCCAAAACATACTTGCACCAGTCATTGACATTTGTTGTTCAATAACAGCATCTATTATGTAATTGAAGAAAATAAAGTATTAGACAAAAGAGAAAAATACGAGAACTATTTGTATTTACAATCGAGATAGCGAAGATTAGTTTTGTCATCATACAGTAGTTGACCTGTTGTATATGCTTGATTAAGATCATGATGAAACACTCTCATTGATGGAAAATCAAATAGAGCGTGATGGAAATTGAAGATCAGTATATCTTTATCAGAAAGAAGATGATTTGAAGAGATCTGTTTGTAATAAATGATATGACATCGAAAGACAAGACCTTGAGCAAGATCAAAAAGTTGAGGATTGTATTTCTCTTCATGTGTAATATCATTGATTTGCTCTTGTGTTTCGTAAGTGTTTTCAATAAATTTAACTAATGTATTGCCATTTTGTTTGAAATCAATGATCTTTTGCATGAGCTGATTGTCCGATGTATGAAACGTGAGTGCTGTTCGAAGAGATTGATGATTTGTAACGATTAGTTGAAGAGCATGACAAATACGTTGTACAGATAAAGTATGGTGTGAGTGGAGATGATAAATAAAGGGCACATTGTAGATTGGCACTTGTGATATGTGAGGAATGAAATGAATAGATTCATTATGGTATAGTCGAATTTGTGCAAACGATGCTGGTGCTATATGAAAGAGAAAGCAATCAAGTATGATTAACGATATTGTTTGTGAAATCCATTTTGTGTAAATTTTAACCATTATCAACTTATTCTACAAATAAAACTTTTGAATAGAATAATTCATGTGTCTGTTTGCGAGAGACCGATGTCCTATTATATCGATTATTCAGTAGAAACTTATTGAAATAAATAGACAAATGAAATAAGTCTTCACGATGTTTTTAATACGTCGTCAGTTGCATTTTCTTTTGGATGCATTAGTGTCTCTAACCATTGAACTATGGAATTATTTTAAATGACATAGTAACTTGTTGCCAAAACTTTTTGGAAATTGAAGCACAGAGGATTAGAGAAAGCTTACACCGATAATATAAATGTTGATTTTAAGCGAAAGAATGACGCTTGAGTCAAAAATGCTAGTTTTCAAAGTGAAAAGGACAGAAATTGTGGGACATTTCACACTATCACATAGTCATCTATAGGAAAACCATCTGGACTGATAAACTTATGTTGGTATATATGAGAAAAGTCTTGAGGGTGAGTGTGGGTATGTATATGAATAAAGGATACACGTTCACATCCATTCATAGTCACACATCCACCCTATGGTTGAGTGCCAGTTCTCAGGTGATCCGAACGATATGGGAACATATCTGCAATGATATTTTTGAATAATGTATGGATTATCGATATAAATGCTTATTAAGAAAAACTTAATGTCTAATTAAACATACCTTCGTTCATTATATCTGATTGTCGACAAAAGATAACATTTTCCATTTCTTGAGTTTCTTCTGGTAGAATAAGATCAAATTTTGATATAGATGTAAAACATGTATCAGTTTGATTGATAGTTTTATTCAATGTAAAAAGTTGTTGAAAACAATATTCTAATCTTCGGCCAATATTTGTAACTGTAGTTTCATTAAACAAATCATGTGAACAAGTTAAAACAAATGATAATCTATTATTTTCCAACATTGGATTATAGATAAATGTTAACATAAAATCAAACTTAGCCACTTCAGACAATTGTTCGAATGACACTTTTTTGAAACATGTTCCATCAAAAGATAATTCATCGCTGTGTGATGGTATAGTAACGAAGTCATAGATTGTTTCGAGAAATGAAATATTTGATTGATTAATATGTAAATTGGCAAGAATATGTTGAAGTGGGTAATGCGAATGTTCAAGAATTGATAAACATTTCTCTCGTACATATTTAACAAGATCATCAAATGACCAATGAGAATTAATTTGAACACGATATGGTAGTGTCGAAACAAACATTCCCATTATATTCTGCAATTCACTTTTATATC